GGGGGGGGGGCACTTGGGTATTTTTTGGGTGGGTATGTGCCGCCCGGGACTCCAAATTGGCACCCCGTTCTAGAAAAAATTTCCCCTAAAATTGATACCCCGTTCTAGAATTCGCCCTAAAACTAATACCCCGTTCTAGAAATGGGCCAATTTTTTATACTCCGTTCTAGGGTGTAACAAGAGTACAACGGTTTGCTTGTTAACGCATTGACCGTATTTTTTTCCTTGAATACTTTCAAATGGCTGCTTACAAAAGTGGAGAGCTTTCGTGGGTTCGAAATATTATACCCCGTTCTAGAAAACGCCTCTGAAATGGATACCCCGTTCTAAATCAGGAGCTTCAAAATCACGACCCCTTTGGGCGGCACATACCCATATAGGTAATGTATGGGAGTACCCCCCTCCCCCGGGGCTGGAGCCCGGGCTGGAGCAAGAAGTGATGCGTGACCAGCCCTGCGTTGGGAACCGGAAATGAGAAGCGAAGGACTTCGAGAAAGTCTATCCAGCTCGCTTTTCGCTTTTGCGCAGAAAACATTTTTAAAAAAATCAACCGCTCGCACTTCAGGCTTGTGAAGAAATTTGAGCTCGACTTGTAGGCAAGTCTATCCAGCTCCATGTGCGGCTCTCGGGCCGGAGTCACGCAATGCTCCCCGCGCATAACATTGCGAGACTCCGGCTGGGGCTGACATACAAGAGCGGCCACGAACAATGCAGGACTTGTATAAAGGTCATATGACCATCACGCGCTCGCGACACGGAAATGATGAAAAAGTTTTAAAAAGGATGTCCTAGAGTGCTCAAAACAACAAAACAAAAAGGTGGCTGGTTCCTCTACAGCCGCCCCCTCCCCTAATAGGCTCCAAAGATGCTGCCTAGTCATATTTTATTTAATAATAATAATGATAATGATAATGATAATGATAATGATAATAATAATAATAATAATAATAATAACAATAACAATAACAATAATAATACTAATACTAATACTAATACTAATACTAATAATAACTTTATTTATATAGCGCTCATATCCTGAGCTCATGGCACTGTACAATGTACAAAAGGCGAAAAATGAAATAATTTACATATCACAATATTAAAAATCTATTTGCAATCATTATATGACAGGTCTTAAAATCACAAAGTTTACAAAAAGAATGACCCACTCTCAAAAATTGCCTAAAAGATATGTTTTCAATTCTTTGTTAAAGCCAGTTGAAAATGGTGACTTACGCAAATCTAATGGTAGTGAATTCCACAGTTTAGGGGCACATACTGAAAAAGCCTTGTCCCCGTAAGTTTTCGTGATTGATCGAGGTTGGTCTAACAGCTGCTTAGATGCGGACCGCAAGACCGTGGAATGCGATTGATAACTCAGTCTGTCCGCCAGATAGCTAGGGGAAAGGTTGTTAAGTGATTTGAAAACTGGCAAAAGAATTTTAAGAAAAGATACGAGTATTATTGTGATTGTTTTAGAAAAAGGTATGTAAATCTATAAAGTCCCGCATTGTCTTTGGTGTCGTGATGAGTCATCACGTATCACATACTAAAAATAAATACATGTACGCAAAAGCTAAATTTAGCCGTCAAAGTACAGCTAGCTGGTTACCGAATCCACAAAAAGCTTATTTGTCCTGAACATTTCGCCGATAATATAAAACGACGTCTTTCCAACAAAATGATCTATTCAAAAGAGAGAATAGTTTTGGGGCGGCCGCGATTTCTTTGAAATTCATAGCAGCTTTCCCGGAAAGCTCCACAGGATCTCAGTCACCTATTTTAAGCGAATTTTCTTTTCAGCCCAGTGAAATGAGTAGTGTCCTTATTTTTGACCCAAACATTTTTATAAAAATTACATAAACAGACCACAATCTTACTTACTGTCCCCTGTGTCCCTTGTGTCCCCTTGTGTCCCCTAGCCTTTTTGTCCCTTCGGTCCCCTGTGACTCGTGTGTCCCTTGTGTCCCCCAGTGTCTCCTGTGTCCCCTTGTGTACCCTTGTGTCCCCTGTGGCCCTTATGTCCCCCTGTGTTCCAAGTGTTTATACTCTGTGTTACCCTGTGTTCCCCTGTGTACACCTGTGTTTCCCAGTGTTCCCCTGTGTTACTCTGTGTTATCCTATGTTCCGGCGTTCCCCTAGCTCTGTTCCCCTTTGTTCCCCTGTGTTTCACTGTGTTACCCTGTGTTCCCCAGTGTTGCCCGGTGTTACTCTGTGTTACCCTAGCTGTGTTCCCCTGTGTTCCTGTGTTACCCTGTGTTCCCGTGTGTTGCTCTGTATTACATACCCTGTGTTCCCCCATGTTGCCCTGTGTTACCCTAGCTGTGTTCCCGTGTTACCCTGTTTTCCCTTGTGTTTTCTTGTGTTTCCCTGTGTTAGTTACCCTGTGTTCCCCTGTCTTAACCTGTGTTACCCTAGCTGTGTTCCCCTGTATTCCCCTGTGTTCCTCTGTGTTAAGCCTGTGGTCCCCTGTGTTACCGTGTTGTGCGTTACTCTGTGTTCCCCTGCGTTACTCTGAGGTACCCTGTGTCCCCTTGTGTTCCCTCTGTCCCCTTGTGTCCCGTTTCCCGCTGTGTTTATTGTGTCCCCTTGTGTCTCCCTGTGTTCCCTGTGTCCCGTGTTCCCCTGTGTCTCTTGTGACCCCTGGTGTCCTTTTGTGTCCTCTTATGTCTCGTGTCCCTTGTGTCCTCGGTATCTCTTGTGTCCCCCGTGTCCCTTTTTCCCACGTTTCTCTTGTGTCCCTCGTGTCCCCTGAAATATATGGCTGCGTTGCCCTTGTTTCTCTTATTGCGCAAAAATTTTGATGGGTTTCATTGCTTTCATATGCCATCCTGCGGGGTTTTTTTCGCATGCCTAGGAGGTCAAATGATGTGATTTTTCATGAAAATAAAAAATCAAAACACAAAGTTCTGCTAGCAAACTTTTGAGGCGCTAGATGCCATGGAGAAATGCATCGCTGATGTTCGTTCATGGATGATTAATGATAAGTTGATGTTGAAGGATGATAAGACTGAGTTTCTGGTGATCGGCACGAGCAAGCAGCTAAAGTGTCTGTAAGATCCAAGTGTAACATTTTTCCTATTATTCGTTCTTGCGTAATTTGTTTTTCCTTTGCGTACGCAAATTAGTTTATACTTCTTTTCGTCCTTTTGTTTAGTCTTTTTTTGCGTTAATTTAGGTGCTTATTCCTTTCTGTCAGTTTTCGCGCCCTCGTTAGCGTTTCTTTGCTGTTTCATCTTCATTAGCGCCTTTCTAAGTTTCTATAGTTTTATTTTCCGCATGTTCTAGCGTATTTTTCATATCGTAGTTTTGCAGTACAGTTTGTGCAGTTCATTTTGGTCGGCGCTTAGCGCAGTTCTGTTTAGTTTCTTGCAAGTCTCTTTGCGTTATTCGCAGTCCGCTTCACAGCAGTTTTCTCTGGCCGAAACAATTTTCAATCCACGCTGTTTGTATGCACACTCTTTGTACCACGCATTTTATTTCAAGTACCAAGCACGTCGGCTACAATAAATCTTCATTCGAATTTGGTTTGTGGTGTTGTTATTAAAGGCCAAGAGACTTTTACGCTTATTGCAGTTTTAGTGTCTGTTAGCAGAATTTGGGTTGGAAACGTTGATGTAATTCCCGTATACTCGGCAAAAAATCTGGGCTCCTGGTTCGACTCGCACATGGATATAGCAACGCATATAGCGAAGACCTGGGGTAGTGCATTATTTTATCTATATAATATCCGACACACCTGGCTAGTGAATGTACTGAGAAACTGATTCATGCATTTATAACCGGTAGGTTAGACTATTGCAACAGTCTCCTCTATGGAGTTCCCGACCATCACATGCAAAAACTCCATCGTGTCATGGATGCCAGTGCGCGATTGATCTTCTGCGCACCTAAACACTGTTATATTACGCCGCTCCTTCAAAAACTTCACTGATTGCCTATCCGCCTACGTATCGAGTTTAAAATCCTTTTGATCACCTTTAAAGTACTCCAAGGTTCAGCGCCTAAATATCTTATCACTTAATTTCTGTTTTACCGCCATCCCGTTATGAATTACGGCGAAATAACAAGGGAATTCTT